CAGAGATTGACATGCTCGTAGGCTATTACATGAATGCATCTGGACTTAATACTGCGCCCACGACATTTGTCAATGAAATAACGCCACATGTAGTGGTAGATCTGTGTAAAATGCCCAACAGAGTCTGCCGCCACAGCTGGAAAAAATCCTAGAGGAAACACTGTAATACACTCAAAACTGTGAAAATTGAATACCTAAGCAAGGTTCAATGCTAAGGATTTTTTCTACTGGCCCGATCGGACTAGTGGTTCAGATTTTTACTTGCTCTGCCAATATTTTCACTGTCCTTCCCAAAAAAAAAAAAAAAACGTTAATAGCCACAAATTTAAAAAAAAGAAAAATGAGTTAAAATGCTTGTAAATCTAGAATTTAAATATTTGAAAAATGTTAATAAATGTATAATGACCAAAATTTAAAGTGTTTTGCAAACAAAAGTAGAAAAATGTGCATTAATTTTATTGCAAAACTAAAGATGGCTGACCTGCCAAACTGACGTCAAACTGTACAAAACATCCCTTCGATTTTTTAGTCGTGGTGTACCCTCGTAAATGTCTGCTTTCGAGACGTTAGAAACAAATGTTTTCCTTTAGCATTATCACTTGATGTTGCCACCATGTTGCTGTCTCTTTGCTGTACTGGTTGTTACAGAAAAAATAACATGCTTACAACATCCAATCAGATAAGAGGAACCGAGAAGGTAGCATTTAAAAACTTATAAACACAAACTGTTTCTTGATTCTAAGACTGTATTTGCAAGCAATTGACAAATAGTCACAGGCAAATTCAACTTTAGTGACAGCCAGGGCATCAGTGGCCCAATCGGGCCAGTAACAATCCTGTCTACTGTCCCGAGCATCTCACACGCTGGCCCCGGGCCATCGGGCAGTCCTTATTGTTGAGCCCTGCCCTAGGATACAGCATACTTTGCTGAATTCTGAATACTTCACTAATGCTTAGTCTAAAATTAATGAATGCTAATTATGCTAAGATACTGAATAATCTTGAAGTACTGAGTACTTACAACATGTTTAATACTCTGAAAATTATGAATGCTCAAAGTCCTACGACATTTTTAACTTGTTCAATATAAGATAATGAATACTTTAGAAGTACTTCGAGGACGTTTAATGCTCAAAAAATAAGTACTGAATATCCTATGATATTGAATCATTTCAACTTGTTTATCATTGTGAAAGCAATAAATCCTACCATACTAGAACTTATGAATAATTCAAAAATGTTTAATGCTATTAAAGCAATGCATATTGAATATACTAAATACTCTAGAAAACTTTTCAAACATTTAACACTGAAAAATATTTAATAATTCTGAATATCCTAAGATACTTCACTCAAAACAATACTGAATAGCAAAACTGAAAGCACCGAACATGTTTAACACTCTAAAAATAATGAATATTGAATATCCTAAAACACCAAATAGGCAATCTAAATGCGTTTAATACTCTAAAGACAATGAAAGTGAATGCCCCAAGATAGTAAATACTTAGGGCATGTTTAATACTCTTAAAATAAAAAATCCTGAATATCTTTTGCTACTGAATCCTATCAACATGTTTAATACACTCAAAACAGTGAAAAATGAATACCTCAGGACACAGCATACTCTGCTGAATTCGAAATACTTCACTAATGTTTAGTCTAATGAATAATCTAGAAGTACTGAGTACTTAGAATGTGTTTAATACTCTGAAAATTATGAATGCTCAAAATCCTAAGACACTTTGAACTTGTTTAATGTCCTAAGATACTGAATACTTTAGAAGTACTTTGAGGAAGTTTAATGCTCTAACAATAACACGAATATCCTGAATATGCAATGATACTGAATCATACCAACGTGTTTCTTAAAACAATAAACACTGTATATCCTACTAAATAACATACTAAAATACCATAGAAAAACTCAAAAATGTTTAATACTATTAAAGCAATGCATATTAATTATACTAAATACTCTAGAAAACTTCTTAAACATTTACTACTGTAAAAAAATAATAAATTCTGAATATCCTAAGATACTGAACACTCAAAACAATACTGAATAGCAAAACTGAAAGCACCGAACACGTTTAACACTCTAAAAATAATGAATACTGAATATCCTGAGACTAAATTCTATCAACATGCACTAAATACTTCATAAATGTTTAGTCTAAAATTAATAAATGCTAAGTGTCCTGACATACTGAATACTCTAGAAGTACTGAATACTTTGAAAATGTTTAATAGTCTAAAAATATGAATACTAAATATCCTAAGACACTTTAGCCATGTTTAATACTCTGAAAACGATGAAAATTGAATGTCATAGGGCAGTGGTTCTCAAAGTGGGGGTCGGGACCCCTTGAGGGGTTGCGGAACAATGAAGGGGGGTCGCCTGGTGATTTCCAAAAATCTACTTATTATTATTAGGCCATAAGAATTACCATATTTTATCCATAACCAACTGAAGAGAAAAAAACAGTCGTTTATAGTTACTATAGCAGCTTATTTACTAGTTCTATTGGATTGCGACCCCAGGGGTAATTACATTATATTAAAGACAGCAATAGCGTCAGATGCAGCAGATTGATTTTATAACACCAGGTTAAACTTTCTGGCCCATTTACAGCACTGACATACGAAACAAAAAATTAAACGAAGAATAGACTTTGGTCTATTGGTGTGTGTGTGCACCATTGCATGCAAGTTTTCTGTATTTCTAATTACCTCCGAGGATATTGGGGGTCGCGAGTCACTGGCATTGTTATTTTAGGGGTCGCATGCTGAAAAGTTTGGGAACCCCTGTCATAGGGTACTGAACACTATAACAATCGTCTCAAACTCTATTCCTAAAGGGCCACAGCTCTGCACAGTTTAGCTTCAACCATCTCCAACTCACAGCTACCTAAAGCTGCGGTCACACTAGAGTTAGAGCCTGTGAAATGCTGTCGTACGGCACTGCGGGATTAAACAAGGTGATTAGGCATTTAAAAAGCGAGCGATTGCTTCAGATTTGAAATTCCTGTACAGAGAGGTCAGGTTTTGATCCTCGATTGGTCTCACGCAGTCAAGTGATGGGATTTCGCAGGTCAGAGTTTACCAAGCTTAAACTTTGCAACACAGCGAACTGCGAAACTTGCCGCACGACTTTGCGTTTTCAGCCTGAAAACATTCGCATGCGTATGAATGGAAGTCTATGGGAAAAAAAGTCCAGTGTGACCGCAGCTTAATAGTTCCTAAGGCCCCGTTTACACTGTCAGGTCTTGTTGCCTATATCGGATTTGTTTGCCTGTCTGTTTACACATTGTTTTAATTGTGACCCATATCCAATTCATGTGTTTACACTTACCATACAATTAAGGATGTTGCGCATGAAAGCAAGGAGGCCTGAAACTGATCTCTGAATATCCGAATGCATGCATTTTTTTTCGTGTTTACACAGTCATAGAACAGATCCGATTTGTGTCACATATGAGCAAAAAATCAGAATTGGGTCACATTTAATTGGCAGTGTAAACGGTGCCTAACAGTCTTGAACACCTCGAGTCGTTTGATCAGGTGTGTTTACTTAAGGTTGGAGCAAAACTGTGCAGAGCTGCGGCCCTCCAGGAATGGAGTTTGAGATCTGTGCTCTAGAAGAACAGAATACTTTAAGCATGTTTAAATAATGAATACTGCATATCCTATGATACTGAATCCTATCAACATGTTTGATACCCTGAAAACTGAATATCCTAAGATACAGCATACTCTGCTGAATTCTAAATACTTCACAAATGTTTAGTCTAAAATGAATGAGTGCTAATTATCCTAAGATACTGAATAATAAAGAAGTACTAAGTAGTTCAAGTTTTATTTATTTGTTAAAAAACAAATAAATAAAATAGAACTAAGTACTTGTGCTTATACTCTAAAAACAACAAATACTGTATATCCTAAGAATCTAAATACCCTAGAACTACTGAATAATTCAAAACTGTTTAATGCTATCAAAGCAATGCCTGCTAAATCTACTAAATAATCTAAAAAACTTCTTAAATGCTTAATATTATAAAAAATAATTAATTCTGAATATGCTAAGACGCCGAACACTCGAAACAATACTGAATAGCAAAACTGAAAGCAGCGAACAGAGTGAATAATCTAGAAGTACTGAGTACTTTGAACGCGTTTACTCTGAAAATTATGAATGCTAAAAAACTCTGAGACACTTTGAACTTGTTTAATACTCTAAAACAATAAAAAAGTGAACATCAGATACTGAATACTCATAAAGTATTTAGTACGTCAAGGACGTTTAATAATCTAAAAATAATACTAAATATCCTGTGATACTGAATCAGTTCAACGTGTTTATCACTCTGAAGACAATGTATACTGTATATCCAAATATACAGAATAGGATACTAAGAAGTCAAAAATATTTAATGCTATTAAAGCAATGCATGTTGAATACTCTATAAAACTTCTTAGATGTTTAATACTGTAAAAAAAAAAAGTAATTAAAAATATCTTACGATACTATAGACTCGAAGCAATCCTGAATAGTAAAACTGAAAGCACCGAATACTCTTAAAGTGTTTAAAACTGTAAAAGATCGCGAATGTTCCACAGATATTGAAGTGGACACATGCTAAAGTTAATACTCGTTACTTTATAATCAGCTCTGAATTCTTGTCAGTAACGTTAACATTATTTCAGCTCTTTTGTGAAGTTTACATGAGTTTTCAGATCGAGCTGAAGAGTTTCTGTTTTAAGTTCTGATCGTCAGGTCAAGTTTTTTAAGGTTTGTTTTCCTGAATTCTGACTGTTGATCGAGTTTGACGGACTTTTATTCGGTCTCCATGTGAAAGTTTCTCCGCGCTCGGGGAACAAAAGCAGCTTCTACCGTCCACGCGCGTCGCGGGAAACCCACTGACGCACAACGGCCAACGAGCTCTCCAGATCAACTGGAAATACAGCGAAGTTTCTCGCTTACACGGCGGTATACTCACGGAACAGCGGCCGGCGGGTCTCCGGTAAACACGACCGTTCAGATCATCCTCATCCCCGCGCGCGTCCACCGCTCATCTCCCGCTACCGCCGCCGCACGAGCGCGATCATTCACAGAGACAGCAGCGGGGGACGCGGAACTTGAACACAGCACAAATCACGCAAGAATACACGCCTGCACCACTTTAACCGCACCACAACAGAATAAACTTAAATCTAAAATATTAGGTTTGCTTTATGATGGAGACACTTGCGAATCTGATGAATATTTCCGATTACAATGAAAAACATACACCCCTAGCTCTGAATAGACTCGGCCGACCGTCAGGCAACACACATCAGTTCACAACTGAACACAAAACACAACACGGAAAGTTTTGTTCACCGATTAACAATTTGTAGGTTAATCTCGTTTATCACATTAAATCAACGAGTGTTCACATTAATGTCTTAATATTTAATTAAAGTGTGTATATATATATATAAATAGCAGCAAATTCATGGATGGGGGAAGGAGAACGGGTCGAACTCCTTTTAATCAATTTTTTAAATCATTTTTAATCTTTCCACAATGTGACAATTAGCTCATGGGGTTTTATAAACTGTTCAAAATGAGTCTTTTCTGATCCTAGATTTATCACAGCATACATACGGCTTATATGCATAAAATTGCACCATCTTCATTGCTAGGATAAGAATAAAACACACTGAACGGATAAATACTGTAACTGTGTGCTTATATAGTGAAGCTGTTGTTCATTGACTCTAAGATTGATAATGAAGCTGATTAAATAAGAGATTTTTGGAAAATTCCACTGTTTTGAGTTTGTTGCCCCTGCCTGAGGGCCGGAAACTGGTGCGAGTTTAGAGATCTGCACCTCCATCTGCAGGAGAAGCTGAAAACTGCTGCACAACAGACAAGATTAACAGTGAACACTGACAAATATATATGAACATATCTATATCTTATGGAGAGAAATCAAGCAGCATTTCAATCATCACATTCACTTACTTCAGAGTCAGAAGTCTCCCTCATAACAGTGCAACAACTGTTTTTAGCAAGCGGTTACTTATCATTTATTATACATGCAAGTAGCTGCATCTCTAAATTGCACATTTCTCTTTAATTTCTTTGCTATTTCAAGCAATTTAATGTAACCCACCTGGTCCTACGCCACCCAACCCGAGCTGGTATCGAACCAGCAACCTTCCGCGTGGGAGTAGGTTGCTCTAACAAAGAGGCTAAAGACCATGGCCTCTAGCATTTGTTGCTAGAGCACCTTTAGAGGTCAGAAGAATGAGGTTTACCTGCACAGCACTTACTAGCTGGCCTCTGTTACACTCACCCCCCTGAAATCTCACTCTCATCCGGGTCACGGCACCAATGTAACCCCGCCTGTCCTACACCACCTAACCCGCTCCGAGCAGCTATCGAACCGCCATCCTTCCGCATGGGAGTTGGTTGCTCTACCAAAGAGGCTAAAGACCATGGCCTCTAGCATCTGTCGCTAGGGCACCTTTAGAGGTCAGAGTGAGGTTTTACCTGCACAGCACTTACTAGCTGGCCTCCGTTACAATTAACAAGCAGCTCTTCATCTTTATTTAATCTAAAACTAAAGACACATAAAACAAAAATGCTTTTATAATCCAAATCCTCTTAAGCAGGGATGTCAAACTCAATTCCTGGAGGGCCGCAGCCCTCCACAGTTTAGTCCCAACCCTAATTAAACACACCTAATCAAACTAATTGAGTCCTTCAGGCTTGTTTGAAACCTACAGGGAAGTGTGTTAGGGCAGGGTTGGAACTAAACTGTGCAGGGCTGCGGCCCTCCAGGAATTGAGTTTGAAATCCCTGCTCTAAAGGATCGTTAGGCTGCATTAATTAGGGCAACTAGAGCCACAAACACTTCCTAAAAGGCATTATAATTTGAATGTCATCTACGCTTATGTAAGTCTGTTTTTCATTATCCCGGGGTCTCCATAATCCTGGACCAGGCCGTATCCTGAGCAGATACTGTGGTGGAGTGGAGACCATGAGACTGATTCCTGAGAGACCTCAGTGACAGACGAGTCTCCACATTGATCCTGAAGGGCAGCCTGAACACCCGCCGGTACATACATATACATATATATATATATATATATATATATATATATATATATATATATATATATATATACATATACATATACACATATATGTATACATATATATATATATATATATATATACACACACATATATATATATATATATATATATATATATATATATATATATACACACACATATATATATATATATATATATATATATATATATATATATACATATCCATATACACACACATATATATATATATATATATACACGCACACACACACACACACAAACACATATACATACATACACACCTACACACACACACACACACACATATATATATATATATATATATATATATATATATATATATATATATATATATATACAAAAAACAAAAATTATATTTTTTTATATTTATTTTTTTATATTAAAATAAAAAATGTTTTTAAAAATTTTTTATATAAATATATATATATATATATATATATATATATATATATATATATATATATATATATATATATATATATATATACACAAAAACAAAAAACAAGTTATAAATATATATATTTAACAAAAAATTATATTTATTTATTGTTATTATTATTTCTTTGTATTTGTACCTACATGTACAATAGTATATTTGTTAATTTTTCGGCTAATGTGAGCGCTATCCCACTGTTGGATTGGTATGGGTCAGGGGTTTGTATTGTTGTTCTTTCTCATTTGAAAAACTGAAAGTCAGAAAAAAAATCCAAACCAAAAATTAAAAACATCAGAATGTTGTTTAGAGGTTTCCATTTATTTTAACAAAACCTGCATGTATTTCACTGTAAACGTCACATCAAATGGGTTTACATGAAATTACAGTCCATCACAGTTAGGGAATATCATTATTATCATGGTTATTGAATAAATAAATCACATTCAATATAAAGCCGATGATTTTAGAAGTGCCTGAACTGAAGACTGTTACAGTCAAATATGCTAAAAGTCCTGAACAGAGGACAAAATCACTTTCTATTCACACAAATGTTCCCAAAGGTGCTGCAGTCAGTAAATCTAAAGCTCAGGTAGATCTTATCCTAGTGTCTGTAAGAAAGTAATCCATACATTAGTAGATGTCTGTATTTTGGGATTCTGTATTTCTGCTTTTGAAGAGCATTATGGGATCTTGATCTTTTCTCCAATAATTTTAAACCTTGAAAAGTTGGAAAAAGTGACTTTTGTTTACATTTTTAATAGTTTAAAGTGCTATATCATCTGTGTTGGTGTTGTATATTACACTACAAACACCTTGTAACAAAATGCAGCACATATTCTGTTATTTTTTAGACTTATTACTCTATATTTCTGATAAATTATATTATATAAAACTAATAAACTGTCAATAATAGTCACTTTGTTAAACTGTAGAGCTGAATTTCCGACATCAAAAGTGGACAGAGCAGAGATCAACATCCCATAATGCAATTCTCAACTGTAAATAAACAGAAAACACTGGTGAATCACTAAATACGGACGCTGTTCATTAACAGTTGTTTCCTACAGTGTATTCTCTATAAGTGTGTGTGTGTGTGTGTGGTGTGTGTGTGTGTGTGTGTGTGTGTGTGTGTGTGTGTGTGTGTGTGTGTGTGTGTGTGTGTGTGTGTGTATGTGCGTGTGGTGCAGATGCTCAGTCAGCACTGTTTGCTCTGCTGGTTGTTGCTCTGCCTCTCCTGATGTTCTCCGTTCTCCATATAGGCCTGAACGGATCTCCAGAGCGCTCGGATGTTCCCCTCGCCGAAGCCTGTTGCTCCTCTGCGCTCGATCAGCTCCAGGAAAAACGTGTCCTCTGCAAACACCGGCTTGGTGAAGACCTGCAGGAGGTGCCTGAGAAACGAACACAGTAAAAATTAACACAACTGGACCAATGGTTACACTAGTGTTGGGTGTGATAGAGTATATGCCCAGGGATTTTTACTTTTCAGTCTGCCAGACCAAGTGCTTACGGTGAACTGTATGCCATTACAAAATTGACACATTTAATATCTGGTTTCTTTAAAGTCAGTGATCTTCACTGCCTGGTTGATATACAATATAAAGTGGGTCTCAGAATGGACAAGCAGCGCTGCATTAAATACCGATGTTCTGCAGCATGTCTTTAAAATATGGAAATAAATTTTACTATAACCACTAACCACTGAGCCACATATTATATTATATTATATTATATTATATTATATTATATTATATTATATTATATTATATTATAATTTATGATACATTATATTATATTATATTACATTATATTATATTAAATTACATTATATTATATTATATTATATTATATTATATTATAATTTATGATACATTATATTATATTATATTACATTATATTATATTAAATTACATTATATTATATTATATTATATTATATTATATTATATTATATTATATATATTATATATATATATATATATATATATATATATATATATATATATATATATATATATATATATATATATATATATATAGTTGCACCTTGCTTACACACTGCTTAATACGCACAAGAGAGCAATAGGCAAATATCTTTACATATGAAAAAATGTAAATATTAAGGATATATAGGATATAATAAGGATAGATATAGAATATAAAGATAAAGGATTAAAATATTACAAAACATATTATTTTCTAGCCTACATAAATATGAAAAATCACTGCTTTTATGTCTTCTTCATCTCGGGAGGCTTTTTCAGTTCATTCATAACAATTTGCTTTTGTATAATGTTATTATTATTAGCAGCATTATTTATTATATCCATATTTATATTTGTTTTATTAAAAACAAGCTTAGATTTGCCCACCTGTCAGGTTTTAGACCATATGGGGCACAGCATGTGTTTTAGGATATAACTCAGGTTTTTGAGCACACTTCGTTAATATTGTTCATTTATTCGTTTGCTGGAAATTAGAGCTGAATTTAGAAATAGTTTTGAAGCGAATATTTGCACTTAACAAACAAAATTAATCATTTATAGACTAATTGATGTCTGTGTGTAAAGGTTTCCCTATCCACGAGAGCGAAAGTAAAAGTAGATCCATCATCTCTCATTCTCACGCAGTAGATGCTCTGTTTAACAGTTTTCTGTTAAAATAACTGTGAACTGTTTGCTTGTGAAATGCAATTTTTTTCCACTTAGACTTACTTTGCGTCCTGTAAATAGTGAATGCGCTCTTGGCGCGACGCAGCTGACTCTTAAAGGGAATGGGAGATGAGACTCTAATTGGTTTATTCTCAAAACACACCTATAACTCATTAAGAAAATAAACTCAACCCTTTTAGACCATGCGCCGAAGCGCAAGGCAGATTTCCCGTCCTTAAATTAGCAAAAAAGCGTCCTGACACGCCCTGAAAGCGTTTGCACCCTGCGTTTTGCGCTCTGCGCATCGACCGTCAAAAAAGAGGCCTACGTCTTGCGTCTGATTTTTCCTTGATGCTGAAGTGCTTTTACATTTAGATTTCAACGAAATATTAAAATTTAAAGGGAAAGGAATTATTTCGTAACAAATGCCCTTAAATAATGTAGCCTTTGACAGTAGGAATTAGTGTTTCTTGACATGATTGGAAGAAGGGGCAGTGCTGGATTTGTGCGTACCTTGGAATAAAATCCGGCAGATGCCCCTGGTGCTCTATAACAACTCTGTCCTGGAGGGACGATGTCCTGGAGAGCTTAGCTCCAACCATAGATATATACACTAGATATCGCATAGGGACCCTGAGCATGCGTCAATAGCGCCGCCACATTGGTACAGGGCTCCCAGGACAAATGTCATTCAACCGCACTAGTCAAGACAGTGTTATTACGTGAAGATGCGGGACTTTAGCGCTGTCTACGGGTGTAGTAACGAGCAAACAAAGAAAACAAAGCACAAAGGCAGAACATTTCATAGGTAATAATAAGTTTTTTTCTGTTTTTGTATGTTCTGAACTTTTGTGCTAATCAGGTAACGTTATTGATGATAACAGTCACTTACTGCATTCACCATACGGCAAAGCAGCTCCGACTCGCACTAAACACTCGGCTTATGCTAGTTTTGTTGAATAAAATCAGCAAACAATGCAAAAGAAATATGACAACGAGATGCTGCGCTGCCAGAAACTTATTGTCGGCTAATGAAGGAGTCGTTCATAACGGAGATTCATTCACAAACGAGTCGCTCCCTCCGTCAGTATGAGCAGTGAAAGCAGGAGAGGAGCTGTGTTTCAGGACATGATTAGATCAAATTTAACAGGGAGGGTGAATAGTACATTTCTGTACACACAAACACAAGCTTTTTGTCAGGAATGCCCGTGCGGTCACTGATCCATCAATGTAGAAAAGTGATGTAAAATCATAATAGAAAAAAAAAATGACATACTAACATCCAGGAAAACTCCCGATCATAGATATATGTGTATATGTGCATATCTCTGGCTTTGGATGGCCACAGTCCTCCACTGTACCTTGGTCCCGCATTCATTTCAAAGGAGCGCTACCCTGTACCAAGATGGCGGCGCTATTGACGCATTCCGTCCAATAGACAACAATAGGCCAGGCGACATCTAATGTATATATCTATGAGCTCCAACCCTAAACAAACACACCTAAACCAGCTAATCAAGCTCTTATTATGTATACAAGAAACTTTCTGGCTGGTGTGTTGAAGCAAGTTGGGGCTAAACGCAGCAGGACACCGGCCCTCCAGGACTGAATTTGGACACCGCTGCTATACATCTGACATGCGCCTTCAAGACGCTTCTCCACTCTCACTTGAACCACTCTCACTGGCAGAGCTGTGATAAAACAAAACGCTATTGGCGGTTTTATTTAAAGGGGAGGAGCTACTCTATGTCCCACCCTCTCTTCATGTTTCAGTTCAGATTACATCAAACATCGAATGAAAAGTGCACATTTACACAGGACTTTCAAGCTGATTTGACATGATCTACAGTGTTACCGTTGGCCGTCTGTGGTCTGTCTGTCTGTGTCCGTCTGGATGTCAGTGTCCAGCAGAATCCCATATCGACTCAGTGTCTGAGGATCATAACCTGCATCCAACATCTCTTGCTGCTTTCCCACCTGAAAACACACGTAATTATTTAATATATTTTACGGTGATGTGTTTTTAAAAACATCCATCAAAGTGCTCTCGGTATAAAAATTTTGCCTAGTAGGCTATAAAGGTGACCTATTATGTAAATATCCCTTTTAAAAGGGGTTTCAGCTCAGCAATATGTGAATATGTTTTATGGTGAGGAAGGCTTGACGGTGTTGAGATGGTGGTGCATCCTAATAAACACAGATCGAGTGTGAATGTGGTTGAGATACACACCTCAGTGTAGTACGCCGGAGGAGGAGAGAAGAACTGAACTCCAGCCTGACTCAGAGTTTGAGCAGTTTTCACGATGTCCTCGGTGTACAGGCCGATGTGCTGGATTCCTGCTCCTCGGTGCTCATCCAGAAACGTGTCCACCTGATTCCTGCCTGAAATCAAATAAAATATATAATGGCTAATGTAATACGGACACCGCTAGACAGGCACGTGCACACATAGGGGTCAACCTGTGCAGTTCACATGCCCTTTTTAGTCTTGGATAGAAAGTGCCCTTCCAAAACGATAAAAAGTGCCCCCCGTGAAAACACCGTCCCCCACCGCCCTACAGTAGGCGTGGGACAACACTGCTCTCGAGTACGCGCTTCCCACCCCCCACTCGCTTAACAGTATGCGCGCAACAACAGCGGCGGCGGTGGCGACGACAACGACAACAACACCCCCTCCCCTCTTCAAAAAATGTATCCTGCACATGCCCTTTGGACAGTCTCTGCACGGGCCTGCCGCTAGATCATCTGCTAGTGAAGCACAATGCGGATCATTACTGAATAAAAACAAATAAAAACTTGCTCCATTGACTTTCCATTGTGGTGGGTGCCTCAATGTCATTTCTGATGAATAATAATAAAAAAACAATGTCTAAAAGATACTATGTGACAAAATATAAAGAAGCCAAGCTTTAAAAAAAGTGTTTTAGATTGTCTGCATGGCCTTTAGATTGTGACATGTTGCGCTCTGTCTCCATAGTGGAGGTGTTGTCCTGTTTTGTTATGGGCATGTCTGTTTCACTGCCTTCAAAAATCAATATTGTTTAACTAAATTGGCTGTGCGCGCCTGTAATATGCAGTAGTTCTGAGATGTCACCTTGCTCAGGGAGAGACTCTGCGATCACAAACTTGCAGTCCGGCTCCTTTTCATCCTTAAAGGGCAGTTTTATTCCAGACTCACTGCATTTCCAGTATTCCATAGCTGTCAAACGCAGGCCGATCCCATCATGGTTCAACACGTATCCCTCGTCCACATCCTCATTTCTGCAAAACAGACAACTCCATTTGATTTTCTAGTAACACAATAATGCCAATATGTCTGCCAGATAAGATATAATCAGAATGAGTTGTCATCAAACAGGTCATTTACACTGGGCCAATGTTTAATCCGTAGTGACTGGCATTGAATCAGTTTATGCACTGCTTGGGAATCTCTTATACTCAATAGTATTATATTTCTGCATTGGACAGACACTAAACACTGCATTCATTTCTTACCTGGGAACTGAGCCATGACCTTGGTATCATCATCACCATCATACACTTATATTTAAAGATTCAACAGATGCTTTTATTGCATTTAAGGTGTACATTGCTGCTATTTGCATGATTACATTTATGCATTTGGAGACATCTGCATCCCCTTGGAATTGCTCTTGTGAACGCACACACTATAGTAACACTGAGGAGAAAAAACTGCTGAATTAAGTCATTATTTTTGTTTTAAATGTGCACAAATCTATTCTCAAAGCTTGATCATATTCAATATATTGAACCACTGAAGACATGGTCTGATTAAGGATGTTTCTTGGTATTTTATTTAACATATCAAGACCATTGCAGTCCATATAGGATGATTAAGCCCTCAGATTTCATCCAAAATATCTTCTGAAGATGAACGAAGGTCTCAGGCATTTGGAACAACATGAGGGTAATTAATAACAACTTCAATTTTTGTGTGAAGTAACTCTTTAATTATAATTAAACTTTAATTCTATTAAAGTAAATCAACTTTTATTTGTAAAAAGTTTTGATTTCACTTTAGTTTTGATTTAATTTGTATTTTAAGGTTACTTTAAGGTTAATTTATTCATTCATTCATCTTCTGCCGCTTTTCCGGGGGCCGGGTCGCGGGGGCAGCAGTCTTATTCACACCAGACGCGGAACGCGCGTCAAGCGTGAGTGATTTACATGTTAAGTCAATGCAAACGCGCGAATAGACATCCTGCGGCGCGATACGCGGCGCGAATGATGAGAATTGCGCGGTGCGCATGGCGCGAATGGCATGCGCGAATTGAGCGTTTCGCGCGAATCACTCGCGTTCGAAAATCTGAACTTCAGCGGACATTCGCGCCGCGTTAACCAATCAGGAGCTTGCTCTTGTTGGGGCGTGATTGTGACGTATCGCCTGTTGACGGTGTCCCAGGGGAAATCCCCCCGCAGACACCGACAAGAAGTTCATCAAACTGGGCTGGGCTCAGTCAGAAGCACCGCTGAAAACCTCCATCAGCCAGGTTCAGTTTCTGGAGGAGTTTATGAGCTTAAAGAGTTGGATGCACCTCTGAAAGGATGTAGTGGACTCAGACACGACCCTAAACGTATCGACGCTGTTTATCATCGTTCATAAAGCACATTAACACTATTATTTTCTTCATAAAATCCATGTTAGCCATTTAGCTATGAAGCTAGAGTCACGGGGCAGACAATAGCCCTGCCCATCACGCGAATCCGCATCTGTTCTGAAGTGAATTTGACACACGAATGAAGCTGGGTTTGACGCGCGAATGAAGCTGGGTTTGACGCATGAATAAAGCGAGTAACCTCAAATGTTCATGCGACTATTTACGCGCGAATAGCGCGATTTATCCGCGCGTTATGCGTCTGGTGTGAACACAGCATTAGGAGAGAACCCCAGACTCCCCTCTCCCCAGACACTTCCTCCAGCTCCTCCGGGGGGATTCCGAGGCATTCCCAGGCCAGCCGAGAGACATAGTGCCTCCAGCGTGTCCTGGGTCTGCCCCGAGGCTTCCTCCCGGTGGGACATGCCTGGAACATCTCCCTAGGTAGGCGTCCAGGAGGCATCCGAAACAGATGCCCGAGCCACCTCAACTGACTTCTCTCCATGTGGAGGAGCAGCAGCTCTACTCCAAGCTCCTCCCGGGTGTCAGAGCTCCTCACCCTGTCTATAAGAGTGCACCCTGCAAAGGAAACTCATTTCGGCTGCTTGTATCTGAGATCTTGTCCTTTCGGTCATGATCCAAAACTCATGACCATAGGTGAGAGTAGGAACGTAGATTGACCGGTAAATCGAGAACTTTGCCTTTCGGCTCAGCTCCTTCTTCACCACAACGGACCGGTACATCGAACGCACTATTGCTGCCGCTGCACCAATCCGCCTGTCAATCTCACGCTCCATCCTTCCCTCACGCATGAACAAAACCCCAAGATACTCAAACTCCTCCACCTGGGATAAGGACTTTCTTCCAACCTGGAGATGGCAAACCACCTTTTTCCGGTGGCACCATGGCCTTAGACTTGGAGGTGCTAATTCTCATCCCAGCCGCCTCACACTCGGCAGCAAACCGCGCCCAGTGCATGCTGAAGGTCCATGTTCGATGAAGCCAACAGAACAACATTGTCTGTGAATAACAGAGATGAAATCCTGTGGTCCCCGAACCGGGCCCCCTGCATTTCAAGGTGGCGCCTTAAAATTATCTCTATAAAAATTATCCTTGTCACCAATTCTATTCATAAGGTTGATTTAATTGAACTTAAAAATTAAGGCAACCAGGGTGATTTTAAACAGTGTGATGGCAGCTGACCTGTCAATGAAGAACCTCTGGAAGCCAAAGTTCCTCCGATACCAGTTGGTGATGTGTACAGTACTGCTCCGCGGACAGGCGTAAGTGATGTGGTCGAAGTGAGTGATGGGACAGCGGGAGCGGTCTGCACCCTGACAGCCTGAGCTCACCTCACGGAAACCGGGCAGGAAGGGGCCCTGGTACCGGGAGCTGTCGATGAGTGTGTGGCACACGTTACCCACCGGGGAGCGCACGATGGAGAAGGTGACCCGGCCACAATCATCCTGGAGATTGAGATACAGTTGGTGGTTAACACTTTACAATAAGGTTCATTAGTTAATGCATTTACTAACATGAACTAATCATGAACAACACATGTACAGCATTTATTAATCATAATTGAACATTTACTAATGTATTATTAACATTCAAGTCCATGCTGGTTAACATTAGTTAATGCACCATGAGTTAACATGAACTAACAATGAACTACTGTATTTTCATTAACTAACGTTAACTAGCATGAACAAATAGAGTAGTAGATGTGTTGTTCATTGTTTGTTCATGTTAGTAAATGCATTAATTAACATTAACTACTAAACCTTTTTGTAAAGTGTAACCAGTTGGTGTTATATACACACATTCATTCAGTGGCAACTTGTGACATGTTCCCTATATTGTTTACCACACTGCTTTGAATATTTAGTCTGGAATAGCATTCAAGCATGACTACAAAACAACATTAGCACTATTTAACTGACTATAAACAATGAGGTACTTTGATAGTCTTTGGCTGCTAATATGATTTCCTCAGTGTTGGGTAAGTTACTTAAAAAAAGTAATCACTAACCACATTTTTATTTACTGTTTCTGAAAAGTAACTCAGTCCTTCAACAAGTTGTTACAACTTAAAGGGTCACGAAACACCAAAACACATGTGTTGAGCTGTTGACAGTCGTATATGTGTCCCACACTGCTAAAAACACTATGAGGACACATATATTTCTCTAAAAAGTGAAAATTGGTTGTTTTTGCGTTATTTTCGAGCAAATTCGTATTTTCGGTTTGAAACTAAAGTTTGAAGCTGCGTCACGGTCATGAGATTTTAGCGTGTATTGCTGCGAAGACTGGACGTCTGTACCTGCGACTGCCTTATTACATCTCTGAGTGTGCTGCATTAAAGGGCCATGACACCCCCCAATTTCGATTAAAGTCTACTTCAGAATTTTTTTTAAAGATGCATAATTAATGGGCGTGGAGCTCCGCGAGCATCGGGCAGGAGTGGGCGTAGCCAGCAGGGGAGAACGTGAGCGAACAACTGTTGTTGACAGTTAGCTCACAAAATGAGACACAAACCGTGAGGAGACGCATGAGTTTATAGTTTACAAAGTTAAAATGCAGTGATTTAATGCCCTGCTACATTTGTTATTCCTAATTTCATATACACATAACCACAATTTATATCATTGTAAAGATAAGTGTGTTCATGTAAACACTACAAATGAGGACTTCTCCCTCAATCCCCATATCCAGCAGACTGCAGCAGGTCTCCTGACCTGTCTATTTTAACCATTAGCCCTGCTGGTAATCTGGAGGATTTAGGCGAACACAGCAGCACAGTGATGTGTCTGAATGTGAACGAACTCCTGATAAAAGACAGCGTCCGCCATTCTCTAATTCTCGTGCTGCTCTCCCGACAAAAATGCTAGCAGCACACACACAGCTTTGCTGTATGATCGGCCCTGACAAGATCGCGGGAGAAAACATGCAACAAATCCCGTGGATCATGGAAACTAACGCATATGAGCCTTCATGAACGGCTAAATACTGTATGCCGTGGGTCTGTCTCACAGCTCGGGCTTGACTCTGGCAGGTCTCATGAATAATTAAGCAGCCGGCTCTTCTCATAGGATAAGAAACTCTGCTATGAATAATAATGAGAAACCGACGCGTCATCATTGCACTTGCAGTTCTGCGCTACGTCGCCGATTTTGATCCGCCTCAAAAATCATTTTAAACCCGGAAGCTGAAATTAGCTGACAAAAGCTCCAAATTATCCAGTTTTCCCCACAATTACAGCTGACAGCTGCTAACATTGTCCTAACTGATGCTCAACACACACAAATCTGTTAATATAAAAAAAAAAGTTCTCCAGGGTGTCCTGAACCTTTAATGCAGGAGTAAGGCTCTATCAGCGCACTCTATTGTGCAACTTCATTAATATGTATGATAGCTTCCAAGACTGTACCTGAAACAGTGTTCAGACGGCAGAGAGACGCCACGTTGTTGCCAAAACAAGTGGGAAAACAAGAATTGTTTGGAGTTACGGGTCGTCAGGGTTGCATTTATAATGTGCTGCAGTGAGGCGACCGTCAAACGTCATCAGGGAAACGGTTTGTATTTCCGCTTAGTAAAAAAACTTTAGTGCTCCATTTGGGACGACAATACATACATCTAAGTGCATAAGTACATAGTGTATAGTGTGTTATTTGGGACGCAGCTATAGTCTCAATGGACAGTGATTTTAATCAAGACAAATAGTACAACAGAAGCAAACACACTGCTTTAAACTTTCAATAATCTGTAAACAGCATTTAGAGCTCTGGGCTCAGGAAGTTCTCAGATATCATTATTATAAAATATAGATTTTTTTCTAAGTGTTTTTTTTATATAGCTGTAGGTTATATCTGCATTGTTAATAGCAAAACTCCTCTATTTGAAATAGAAATAAAAAAACAAGTTCTGAAAGAGATCAAGCCTCAGCCAAAAGTAGTGTAGTGCATTACTTACCATAAAAAGTAACTAATTAACGCAACCAGTTACATTTTTGGGGAGTAACTCAACATGTAATGCATTACTTTCTTAAAGTAACTCTCCCAAACACTGGTTGTTACATGATGTAACTTGCATCCTAACAGGCTTCTCTTCCTCCTCACCATTTTTTGTTTGTTGTCAAAACTGACCGCTGGAGGGGCGTGGTTAAGTATGTTAGCCACGCCCAATACCTCAGACTGACGTAATCCGAGACTTTAGCTAAATACTAATAATTTTTAGATTTTAATTTTAGATTAAAAGACCAATTTTTTTTCTTGATGACTTCCTCTGAGGAATTGTTCACCACAAAACTAGCAATGTGAGCTAACTTAATCATATGGTTAGTTTCACTCTCATGTGTCCGAATATTAAACCAACTCTACCTGAAGCTCCGCGGGCGGCTGGAGGAACTCACACCCATCCTGATCCCGGAGCGCCCGGCTCGCGCTCGGTACATCGGTCACCTCGAAGCACACGTTACTAACGGTGTCCACCGGGTAGTGCTCATGAGTCCCGAACACACAACCCGCGTCCCGGTGATCTCTGACAGCGCCGCAGTCACTCGGACTCGGTCTCTCGTTCACCACGAACACCGCGGATCCTCTGCGGAGCGCGAGCTGCTTCGCCCGGTCTGTCCGTCGCGCCGCGAACACGTTAAACTGGAACCGCGACACGAGCTCGTGAGCGACTTTATCCACGTTTGAAACCTGCAGGGAAATGTGGTGCAACCGGCTCAAGTAGGCCGCCATGTTTGGGATGACGTCATTCAGATGGGCGCGTCAAGCTGTCATGGAGTTGTCATAACCATGTACATTATGATAAAAGCTACACTCTTAATATTTTATTTTTTTTGTTTTAAGCTTTGCTTTATATTTATTTCTTGTTTAGCTTGTTGTATTTTAAGAATATTGTGCCCGTTATAATTATTATTTTTTTTACTTTATCCCCCTGGTGTCCTTCATGTTCCTTCTATAGGAACATACCATTCTCCTAAAATATACCATTTACTGTTCAATAAAATAAATAAATAATAATAATAATTCCTCAATTTATGTTTAACGCAGAGACTTATTAAACACATTTCCAACCATAATAGTGTTAATAACTCATCTCTAATCACTGATTTATTTTATCTTTGCCATGATGACAGTAAATAATATTTGATATATATATATATATATATATATATATATATATATATATATATATATATATATAGTGTGGCAAGACTTTGCTTCTTCTTCGACCAATTCAATAATAAAGTTGAAGTGTCTTTAAAAATTTCCTGTAAAAACAAAAACTGTTTAAGGCTGGTTGCCTGGTTTTAGAGGGGTTTTGGCCATTTCCAAGCTGGTTTCCAGCTTGATCAACCTGGTTTTTCCAGGACATAACTGTATTTGGCTAGGATGGTCAAGCTGGTTTTAGCTGGTCAACTTAATAGATCCTGGAATGGCCAAAATCCCTCTAAAAACAGGCTGGTCAACCAACCAAAACCAGCCAACCAGCCTAGGCTGGTTTAAGCAGTTTTTTTCAGCAGGGTCAGAATACTAAATTTATTGTTTTACTCCATAAAACTCATATAAAAGCCAGAATTTTATTTGCACAGGCCTTTCTAAAAGGTTAATGGTGACAAATGATGATCACCAGTAAAACTTACAAATTGTTCCTCTTCCCAACAAGGAAAATCAGCAACAATTAAGAATTCATGAGTATATGCTGCCAAGGCTTTGCAATAAAAAATGTCAATATAATGAAAGTCAATGGGGTAAAAACAGCCCCCAACACAACCAAAGGGAAGTCAATTTGCCCAGAGTCTATTTTAGAGGTTTTTTTTTTAAACAATTCCAAAGAATTTTTCTAAAATATGTGTTAAAATAAGATTTGTCACCAAAAATCACCATGTTTGCAGAAACACAGAAAAAGTTGTGGCCAAATGAAGCTTAAAAATCAACATCCCCAACTTCATCCCCAAATCTTAATAAAAAAACTACGGTATTTTGTTGTCTAAAATAAATATACTGTAAACATGACACCTTCTTGGTTATTTTGACCAATAGTCACCTTTAATACAGAGATTGTACACAATTAAAATCTTTTATTAAACTGGTCAGCTGAACCATCTTGTTTCAGAAATGAAGACTCTTCAGATATAGCTTATGCATATTCAAAGATTGTGCGCTTAAGATACAATTTGGCATTTCATAACAATACAGACCCGAAAGACACAAACATTCTACACAATCCTGTTAACTTAACTTACTATCATCAATTTAGAAGAAATATAAATGCACTTAAAGGGTCTTTAATAGATTAAATATAGAAATAATATTGCAGTGTAGCATAAAAACAGATCGAAGACAAACTGTGAGATTAGTCAAGCATGAAATTATTCATTCCCCTGGCAAATTCTGTCTTAAAGTTTGTGTTCACATGTTAATAAAAGCTGGGAAATATTCGTTTTCCTCATTGACGCCTCTTCTACATCCTCTTATTATCTTTCAGGAGAAGCCGGTGTCATTTACGGTCCAAAATTACCTGCTGGTTGAATAAATGCACCTTGTCGGGGCGGGGGTGAATAATTTCAGGCTTGACTGTTTACATGTGGTCGCTGCAGTCCTGATAAATGCCCGTTTAACAGTAAACGCGTCTAAACCGATGCAGAGGCACGCAGGTTGTGTTTCTGGAATTTCAGCAAAACGAGATGGAAAGATTCCTGGATGTTGTGAGTGACTTAGTGGAAATCGGGTTTCTCTGGGAAGGTGCAGCCGGATCTGCGGATGATGACGTGAGCGGCGTAGTGACCTGCACGGATGCACTCCTCCAGCGGCTGATCCTGGACCAGCGCCGACAGAAAACCTGCACAAACACAACAAAAGGTGAACAGGAAGAGTTAAGATGTTAGTTAGGAGATAAGTCTGTCTGACATTGGGTCTTTTTAAAAAAGCGTCTTCATCAGGAACCTATGTTCAGGTTCTATAAGAAAATTAAACAGAAAATAATTGATTTATAACCTTTTAAGTGAAGTTACTCAAACTATAGATTACTCACATCCAAAATAATTGTTAATTTTTACTAAATGTATTTGTGCGTAGTGTGTATATTTTTTTATATTTTCGTGTGTCTGTCTGGTTTTTGAATCTTATTGGTTGATAGCCATGTAATATACTGCCAGTAACAGCACTTGTAACCCCTCTTCACCCTTGTGTATTAAATACAGCAATAAGCAGAGAGACACTCTACAGTTTGACAAATATTGCTGCTGTTGAGCAGTTCTCTTAAGGCATTTTTAGCCGAGAAAGAAGTTGTTTAGATTGTAACTATGCAGTTTTATTCATAAGAATAGTGCCTTCAGCATGCGCCCTCCAATGTTCTGTTGATGTAAATCGCAGATGATCCCTAACCGTACGTTCACACCGAAAGCGGCGAGAGCGTCCAAGGTCGCTCTGGCCACCCTGGCGACAACGCTGTCTGCCTTCAGCTCTGGTGGCGAGAGCGTCAAAACTCGCTACATTGATCTCGTACTTAAAGGAGCCGTTGCAGCATTATCAGTTACATTCCTGCATAAGACATGTTTTTAGCGTGAAAATGTTGCGCACTTCTTATCAAATTCATACAACAATGGAAGATCAAGTTGCGTGTGGTGTGGCTTTGCTCTATTTATCCAATATGTGTCCATACGTCTAAAATATCCTGAAGCAGCTAACGTTATACTGTTTTGTACTGTCACATCGCGTGAGATTCTCGCTTTTTAAAGATAAATTTATATAACATTAATGAACATCAGTAGCTCGCCAGTAACTTATTTAATGTATGTTCCTGTAAGAAAACATTGTAAATAATTGGAAATCCGGCGACCGCAATCATCAAACCCTTGGGAACAACTGTGGTCGGAGCCAAAGTTCACAGGTCTGTGTTCCCTGAACTACTATCAAGCGGTGGACTTCTTCATTCTGATTGCTTGCCGCCGAACCGCGTCATAGCTCATTACCATAAAGTTGACTTCATTTCAACTCTCCTCGACGCTCACGCCGGCGAAGACGCGCCGCACTGCTCCTCGCCGCTTATCGTCGCCTATCGCCGCCGGCTCTCATTGAAAATGAATGACTTCCGGCTACTTTGACGCTCTCGCCGCTTTCGGTGTGAACGTACGGTAACACTGCGTGTGCGAATATCAAACCTAAGGCCAAGTTTACTGAGCTAGGAGGTGATTGGTTTTCTAAAGTATTTCCCAGTTCAAGCTCGAGGGCTCGTGCAGCTTCACGAAGCCGCTGAGGAACAGACTTCGTCATGTTTATGCTGCCAAATGTCCCAAATAGTCCTCGCTGCAGCTGTGACGACATAACCTAAAACCCACCTTGCAGCAACGGCGGCCGTCTGTGGGCGTGGCCAGGCCAGAATGCATTTTTAATTTCAAATCGGCTTTCAATCGTCGCGATGTGTTAAATGAAAATGCATTATGTTTTTTTCATTTTCATTTTCATTCTGCAGCAAACATTGCACATATGTCTTGGAAAATGCTAACTGAAATACAGAAATACACTGCCATTTACATATTGCATTATCGTTTTGCGTATTACATTTCAAAATTAATTTTGCTACACACATCCCATGCTGTTATGCTGAAAATGTAATCCTGCGTTTCCTAGACGCGAGCGTAAATGCATTTAGGACAAATAACATTTAAATGATCATTTTGCTACAGTTTCTGCTTGTACTTTATTCACATCAAATTCAGTTTGTGTATAGCATTTTCAATTTAATTTAGCTACTTATAAAGCTTTAAATGTGGATACAATTTACATATTAAAACAGTGTTTGAAATGAGAAATGCAAACAATGTAATTTAATTTACATTTTCATTCTGCACCAAACATTGCTCATATATCTTGGAAAATGCAAATTCAAATACAGAAATACATTGCCATTTAACTTATTGCATTGCCATTTTGCATATTACATTTTGAATTGAATTATGCTACTCATATGCTTCCATACGCATTGTTGTGTCAGCATCTTTGTGAAATACAGTAATACTTTAGAAGGCTTAGTTTAAGCAAATTTGATGAACGCAATCATGTGTGTTGAATCTGAAGGGAGTCGCTCTGGCTGCGCTGTCCTGCGTGCAGTGTGTCTGTGTGTGTGTGTGTCTATGTCTATGTGTGTGTCTGTGTGTGTGCGGATCTGCGCGCGTTTCTTAGCAACAAACCTGCCTGAATGTCGTTGTCCGTAGCCACTAAATTAAAAAGTTACGAAATGTCATGAGATTGCGTTGCACTCTCAGCTCACATCATTCAAAAGAAAAGGTCCACATTGTCCCGCGATAATGTCAACAGACTGGACTGTTTTAGCAACTTGCTGAAAGTAAAGGAGGACTGAGAAAAATTGTTTCTACTTTATAATTGATGTTTTTAACTCACAGCAATACAACTTTATAATAAGTACAACTGTTTGTATTCAATACTTTATTATTATATAATTTCCCATATCTGCAATTCCTGTATTTTGGCATTTTTTTGCAGTCCACTTACAATCCAACTTGAAAGTCAATGTTTTGTTTATTGGCATTGATTGTTTTGAAATTCAAATGGCATTAACATGCCTGTGTTTTTATTTCTGTAATAAATATGGCTGTCAAGCAGGATCTTGATGGTTTATTTTGGGTTTGTTGTTTACATGAAGAAATCTGTGTTACAAACAAAAATTTTAAAAAACAATTATATTTTGAATTGAAATAGTTTTTGTCTTGCGTTTACATTAAT